TTTGTGAATAGTTATATTGAATCCCAGCAGCGACCAATCATTTATGTATTGGCTATGGCTACTTTCATGCTATAAAGGTAGGGTTGAGTAGTTGCCACAGAAATCATGTCCTACAAATCTGTAAATATTTACTAGCTGGTCCTTCACAGAAAAAGTTTGCCAACTCCAGGTCTAGGTTCAAAGTGGTCTTCCATTGATCTGTCCCCTCCATCACTCTTTGTGTTTTATACTTCCTTCTAAACCCTATGTCAACGTATAAAAAACATAAGTTTGTAGCGTGTCTTTCAAGAAATCTGGCAGCATGTCAGGCAAGTATTAAGGTTCTGAGACAGCCAAGTAAAAACGGCTTCCTGGAGAGTCTCCAACCAGCCTGTGCACTGGGAGGATGGGGTGAAGCCTTGGGAAGCTCCTGCTGTTCGCAGCAGGGAAGGAGCCTGGCCTCTCCTGTTCCTGGGGGGTAACCTGGGATTCAGTTGGTGAGGTGCAGAGTCTGTTAGCAGGACCCCATCTAGCTTTGCTGTGTTGTTTTTTCCTTTTCTCCGAACAAATTCTATCCTCCTCACCCTTCAAAGTGTCTGTGAGCCTAACCTTTTCCTGGTCCTGTGGCAAGAACCCGGTTTTTCGCTGAACTAAGGAGACAGTCCTACAACATTTTCAGACACATCTGTGGCCAAAGCCAGGGTTTCATGCTATCCTTTTCTGCCATCCAGCAAACCTTCAAATCTCAATCAATGTTTCTTCTCTTTTTAAAATTACCTCCACCCACTCTTATCTCTTGGAGTTTTCCCTCTCCCAAGAATTGGAAAAATTCTGCCCTCTTCATCCCATATATATATATATATCTCTCTCCCAAAAGACAAGTATACATATCTGTTCACCATAAGAAGATTCCCAGACTACTTTCTTTACTCCATAGCTTCGGCAAAGTAAAACAAAATAAAGTGGAAGCTAAACATCAGCACACATGGACACAAAGAAGGGAACAATAGACACTAGGGCCTATTTGAGGGTAAAAGTTTGAAGGAAGGGGAGAATTGAAAAAATACCTATCAGGTATTATGCTGATTCCTGGATGACAAAATTATCTGTACACCAAACCCCCATAACAAGAAGTGTACGCATGTAACAAACCCTGCACACGTACTCCTGGAACTTAAACTAAAAGTTGAAAAGAAAAAAATGAGGCCATAAAAACTCCCTATTTTATTAAGCTTTTTCCAGACCTGAAAGTCTATCAAGGTAGAACTATTGATGTTTGACTGCGTCAAGCAGGTAAAGAATCTCTTAAACTGCATAACACCATATTCTGGGGAGCACAAGCCTATCCAGTTTTAAGATAAAATAAAAAACAAACAAAAAACTTGTTCTCTCATGATATGCATGAAAAACAACTTGAGATCTTCTAGAAAAATTGGAAATCATGACTGCTTTTTGTTTGTTTGTTTACTAACACTGCGGTATCAAAACAAAAGTTTAGTCACCAGCATTTCAGGAGATTCAGACTGGTCTGGTAGGGCCTATTCCCTCAAAAGCAAGAATACTGTGATGACAAGGGACAGACACTAGACTACTTAGAAAGAATTTCATAATGAGAAGCAACCTGCATAGGGTTACTGGCTTTTGGAAACAGCTGAGCTGGGAGAGAACACAAAAGTCTTAAGGCCTGGGCTGGGTGTAGTGGCTCAGGCCTGTAATCCCATTGCTCTAGGATGCTTGAGGAAGGAAGATCACTTGAGTCCAGAAGTTCAAGGCTGCAGTAAGCTATGATTGCAACACTGCAATCTGTCCTGAGCAACAAGACAGAATAAGACCCTGTCAAAAAAAATAATAAAAGAAAAAAGAAAAAGAAACCTGCAAGATAGAAGATAGCAATCTAACACTTTCCTCTCTGTAATCTTCAGTAAACAAACAAACAAACAAAAAAGCATTTCTTTCTCATGGAATCTGACAAGGCCCTTGCCCATTTAGGAGGAGGGGCACAGACAAACACAGGAAGTTACAAACTTTGAGCTGCTCTAAACCCTCAAACAGAAGTATGAGTAAATGTGTCAATAAGTTTTAGGTCAGAGAAAGGCCATCTGTTGGAATCCATTCACAATTTTATTATTATTTTTTAACTGAAAAGAACTAGAAAGTATAGTTGTTGGACAACTGCATGGGTGCAGGTTCTATCAGACAGACAGAAAGCTTTCAGTTCCTTAGTCCAGTTACTTCCAACTGGGCATAATAATCTTCCTCAAATGATTTTCCTTCAAAGTTGATCAGTCTTGGAATTAGTTGATGAACCAGATTGGCTACACAAACATTTGTCTTAGGGTTCTTGTGGCTCTGAACCATTGGGTAAGGAAATAAAGATTCAAGTACCTCAGCAGGATCATCTTAATAACTGATTAACTTAATGCACTGAGCTAAATTGTGACTTTGTTCATTTCTTCATAAAATCTATTTTTTCTGTCCAGTTTTTGTTAATGTCAATTGTCCCTTGTCAAATAAGATTAGCCCATGCTATGTCTTATACCTAATTCTGTTTAATTTTTCCTCCATCTAATTTCACCTTATTTCCTAGTGTTTTATTGTTTTAGTAGATTCTTTTTTCAAGCACTTTTCCATGGAAATAATTTTTCTTTGATACCCCATCATTTTTTCTATGACTGCGTATTATGATCTTACATATAGTTCTTGGAAATTGTGTTATGTCTTCCATTGGCACTTACTAACTTTTTTTTAAATTTCATAACCTTTCAGTCACAACCTCACCGAAGTGGTCATCTGCCAATAAGAACATTATTGCCATAGTTGCATTTTTTAAACCCAGATTCTCACTAATAATAACAAATGAGTATTTTCTCAGGAATCTTTTCAGGAGTCTTCTTTTCACAAGACTGTCTCAAAGATAAAACATTATTTCTTTTCATAAATTGTATTTAAGTTCAGGATAACTAGGTATGCCTATATAGCCCAAAATTCTAAACCAGCAGTCCATTTAAAAATAATTACATAATATGTAAGATAGCTACTTATAATACCTATATCTTATATAGGTATTTTCTTATTTTTGTTATTTCAACTACAATGCATTTCCATTTTTGAAATAATTATCAATATACATATTTACATGCATAACGATGGCTTTCATTAAGGAAGTTGAAAAGGAGAGGAATATTTATTGAAGTGAATATTGCATAATGGAAAAGTTCCATGTCTTTAGAATCAGAAAATCATAACTTTAAGTCCCTATTTTGCTGAATTCGGGTAACCTAGTTAGCTGTAAAATGTAGTTCATCTGAAAGATAAGATTGGGGATAGATAATTTTCTCATAGGGTTGTTGTGAGGATTAGATGAGATAATACTTGTGTAATGAAGCCTTTGAAGCACTACATGGCTGTCGTAACTATGCCTGCTTTCTGAGGCTAAAGGCCTCAAGAAGCTCTTTATGCATAAAGCTGTTACTTTGAATTATGGGCATCCAGTGAAACCATCTCTGTTTCCTAGGACAAAATAAACTGGGTAAAGGGATTAGTGCCCAAACTACAGTCCCATGGAATAATGAACAGTAAGAATAATCCATATGATATAAACATATATAGACCCAATGAGACGCACTTTTAAGATTTAGAATACTCAGAGCAGCAGACAGATGGTCACTGAGCTTCAGCTGTACATTGAAAGCAGCTGAGCAATTGTTTAAGATATCTATGTAGCCTATTTTACATCTCAGGTTTAGAAGTTCTGAAATAAAATTGAGACTGAAAGTAACAGAAACCAAGATGACCTAAAATGTACCAAACCTCATTAGTTCTATACACTTACCAACAACCTCAATAACCATTGTTATTATCAGCACAAAAATCAATGCAGTTTACAAAGTGCATGTTGCCTTATAACAAATTTGTTCTTTCTAGGCAATCTAATCTGTTCCCAGGAATTCAATTGTCATCTGTGTGGCAACGTCTCTTAAAATCCCCCGTCTGTGACTTTGATTTTAAAGCACATTGTTCCTTATCAGTTTAATGCGAAGAAATACTAATCATACTTGACATGTCACTTTGAAATCTTACCTTATACATATTTACTGGAAAGTAATGATTTCACACATTTATTAATCACAAATATGAACTCATTAAAATAGTGTGCCAGAACAATGTTGAGCACATTTCTTGATGGCAATCTCACAATGTGGCTACATTATTTTGGTCTTTCTAAAGGACTCTGTATTGGAAAGAGTTTCCAATATATATTACTTTTAGGAGTTCCACATATTTATTGATAAGTACGATAGTGTAGCTATTTACAGGAGGCATTATCTTTTATAATTTTAAATTTCTCAAATAAAATTCATCTAAAGAATTAAAGCAATTAAATTAATGGTCAGAGTCACTTCAGAACGTATTGTTCTGGTCAATTACGTCATTCTATGAAAAATTAAAATATTTCAGTTGGCGAAGATCAAGACAACAAAAACAACAACAAATAAATGTCTTCCCTTGAGCTAACCAAACCCTAATCAACTTCTAAAGCCCATTTCATTTCTCATTTCTTCCACATCTCCCGTAATCACTTTCTTTAACCCACAAAGACTACTAACTTACTAGAATTACAATGAGTCTTACTGTCTATACAACAAATGTGGCACTTAATAAATATCCCCATTAAACCTTCTTCTGATGGATAATATGTAGATATAGAAATATGTTGTGATCCAAGCAAGGTATTATAGCTGTTTAGTAACAAAACTAGGACTACTAGAATTTAGGAGGCTTCCTGTCAAGTTTATTTCCACTACAGTCTACATTCTCTGCCCACTGCTTCATCCTTTATTTCCTTTTGTATTTGTTTTTGTCTCTCACAATTAAAGCATAGATCATCGAGGGAACAAGGGTAGAGTGTGGAGTGATCTTGGAAGGGTATATAAGGGAAGTATCAGGCACTCTACGAGAATGTTTTATGTGTCATTTATTCTACTTGTTACAATAACCTTGTATCTCTCCCTATTTTACAGGTGAGGATCTGAAGCTCAGAGGAATGATGTTAGCTGCTCAAGGCCACATAGATGGCAAGCTGGACAGATGGTCACTTTGGGAAAATAAGTAGTAGTATACTGTGTGTACTGTAAGTGAATCAATATGCTACTATTGACCCCACTCCCTAAAGTATTAAGAAAATATCCCCATTTATTTACAACACTTTCTTATTCCTAAGAAATGTCTTGTGAAATTGCAAGTTGTTCAAAGCATAATAATGAAGAAATAGAGAAGGAAATTTTAATCCAATATTTAGTCTACAGCAACAAAGAATATTAAAAGGATCTTTGAAGTAAATGGAATAGAGCAATCCTTTTTGTCCTAATTCACACCGTTGTTGGCAGTTGTGAGGTACATTAGATGCTCACCACATTACGCTTCTATTATGGAGCTAGACCATTATTAATAAAGGGAAAAAGAACATATTTGCTAAGATTTCCATTAAGTAAATAGGTCTCATGAAGGAATGCAAGAGGACATTTTTGCTAATGCCTTTCATTCTGTTTGTGAGAACGGAAAACAGGATTTTTCTCAGTATAGAAATAAGTCAGCCATGTGGTCTATTGTTGCTTGCTTGCATCAAGTGATAGAATGTCTCTCCTTCAGTCCTTAGTAAATTTAGGCATTTTCTTTGCCAACCATTGGCTATAGTAAGTTTTATAGTAAGTTTTAATTGGCTATGTGAGTTTTAACATTTTAATTTGTTTACAAAATAGTGTGTGTATATATATATATATCCATATATGTATTGAACTCTAAAATTATTTTTTAAATTTGTGCAATATATAATTGTAAACTAGATCAAGATCTCTACTTTAAATATGATGATTTGAGCCATTTTAATCTTAATATTGAGGAAATTTACAGTATAATTTTAAATCACATAGGACTTTTAAAAACTTTAAATCATTATTGACTTTTACCAAACCCTCCCCAAAACTGTATAAAATAAGAGAGGAAAACTAAAAGGTCTTAAATCTGGTGATTTAGTTCTAGGAAAAATTTATACATAAAATGAACTGAGAAGAATCTGAAAATTTGCAGAAGATACCAATTCCCCAAATTACATATTTTCTATCCAGACTAGTTCTTGCTCCCACATAAAAATCTTGCTCCAGTAAGAGCGGGGGTACCATAAATCATAGGCTCTAAATATGGAAGAAACCTAATTATCTACCACACCCCCACTCTATTCAAGTTTTGCTACAGAACATTTTTCTTACAAGGCAAATGCTAAATGTCTCAGCACATAGCCTTGCAGCTAAAAAAAATGTTTTTAACAATGTCACTAAGAGTTCAGTACAAAAAAAATCATTATCTTTTCAGTCAAGCTTTCTGTTTTGTGCACTATCCTGAGACACTCAAAAAACATATTGTAGGAATAAAATACACATGAGCCTTTGAAACCAGAGTTTGAAAAAATAACTTGAACTTACTACCTATTTATCTGATAAAAATGAATAATTTGTAAAATGTAGCTATATTAATATTTAAGTATATACGTATGTATATCAACTTATTCAAATGTTTTAATCCTGAAAAACTGTACTCGGAATAGATAGGAAGTTTATTAACAAAATCTTGTTTTAAAAGCTATAGGCAAGATGACACTAACAGAGAATCTTAGCTTGAATTTTGAAAATGATAAAGAATATAACTTTTTAAAAATATATACGTGCACATTTTAATATTTCCATATGAAATAAAAGAAGGGAAGAATAAAGATAAAGAAACAAATTAGGAGGCTAATGCAATCATTCATATGAAAAAGTAATGACTACCTGTCTATGCATGTAATCTAATCTAATCTAGGCAATCTAATCTGTTCTCAGGAATTCAATTGTCATCTGTGTGGCAATGTCTCTTAAAATCCCCCGTCTGTGACTTTGATTTTAAAGCACATTGTTCCTTATCAGGAACAATATTTTCCTAGCTTGTCTTGATAGAGAATATTATCCTCTATCAAGACAAGCTAGATCCAGGAAGCTTTGAGATTGAAAAGTCTCCAAGTCTTGAAAAAATGATTAAACTTGAGAAGTAAGGGAAGAAAAAAGTGAAAGACAAATCTAAGATTCTGTGTCCAAGTGTCAGATGGAGAATGTCAATGGCATTAATCAGAATAGAAACTGAGTTCTGAAAAGAACAAAAGAATGATCTTTGGGCACATGGATCTTGAGATATCAAAGGAAATTTTAATGGCATGGAAAGAGGACACAATTAGAGATATAAATTTAGATATCATGGAGATCATGGAAAAGGGAGATGACTGGAGGTGTCACCAACAAACTGGGAGAAAAACAATTTCTGGCCCACAATGAAAAAACTGGACAAGTGGTTTATTTGGAGGAGGGGACTCTGGGGAAGAGGGTTGCTATTCTCCAATTTTAAATGTCTGTTTTAAACTTACTTTTATTGCCAAAAAAAATCACTGTGTGCCTTCACAATGTAGTCAATTGGGAGAATTGTCTAATTCTTGGCATGGTTCAAGCAGGACAGAGATTGAGTCCTGAAGGGAGTGATATCAGTTCTGAATAGCAGAAAGTGCCATCTCAGACAAAGGTAAGGATTATTCCATGGTTCACAACAGCTTCTGGGGAATTAAGTGCAAGACATTGTTACCACTGCTGAGTAACACTATATTAAAAAAAGAAGAATAGAAAAGTGCACTCATTGGTTCTGAATGAAAGCACTCAAAAACACTGATTTAGAAACTGTTGTACAGCAAGGAAAAATTGAGTCAATGAAAAAGAAAAAAATAATAACTCTAAGAGTTGGGACTATGTGATCTGTTATTTTCTTTGAGAGTGCAGGCTCAGTTTGTGCAACCTAAATCTCTCTGGACAGAATTTTCTTTTCTCCTCCGGCTCTTTCTCAGGAGCAAAAACAGATTTGCCAAGTACCCAGGGTCCTCACGGGGCAGCTGCAGAGAAATCAGCAAAACATTATTTATTTCCTGTGGTTTTTGTTTTCCTTTCAGGAATTATGGTGACCAGCTGGGGAGAGAAGTGCCCCATTTCCAGTGGTACCACCACTGACATGTCTGACCTCAAGAAGAAAGGGTAGCCCACCATGAGGGACCGGGTGTGTGACATATTAGATAACCAGAGAAAGGCTAGGAAAATCCCCCTAATGTGTAAAAGGCTTGGTCTCATTCCAGAAAGTAGTAGGAAAAGAAAATATTTTAAGTCTTCACATCTAGAAGGTTAATATTTAAACTGTTAAATTAAACTCGATAGAGCTATACAATTTTACCCAAGATTCACAAACTTCTCTGATGTAAAAATGCATAAACAACATATTTTTCTTCTAATAATAATAAAAATATTCAAATTAGTGAGGAAAGTCTGCAGGTCAGAAATTCTGTTCACTGAATCAGATACCCAAAATGTATGCGAAAGTTTGGACTAAGACTTTGTCATTGAAGATCCCTTGTAGCTCTGAGATTCCACTATTTCGAGTTGGCCTGAGAAGAGAGAGACTTGTATGAGAACTCATCTCTCAGGCATTGAGTTAGACCATGTCACCCTTTAGGCTTAATTACAGAGACTTTCCTCACAAATGGTCCCAGGATATATATCCCAGATGCATCATTTCTTCCTCTCCTGCAATTGGAGCGTCTGCTGAAGGCCTCTAGAATTCTGCTACCAGTGATCCCAACTCACACACAGGAATAAGTAGCAAGCAGGAAGCACACTTTTGCGTTGTTTTCTCGTTAGTGTCTAAAACACCCCATGGCCAAATGCTTTTCTATATTTAAGGGTGACCTTTCTTTAAGTCACATCTATATCCCTGTGTCAGCGGACTACAGTAAAATTTGGGGCCACCTCATTGCAGTGACAGATCATGCACTATTAATTCTAGCATAGTACAGGTGAACTTCAACTCTCTAGTCACTATTTTAAGATGTATTCCTGGCCTATAAGACTCATAAAATGTTCCTTAAGCTACTCTTGAGAACAATTTACATAAGCAACTGGTGATCATTAACTGGGTGACTGCAAATGTAGGCAAATAGGGGATAAATAAATGAAGAGTTTTCTCTTTTAATAAAACCGTTCACTTCTAGATTCAGAGTAAAAATGTTCTCATCTCCATGGGCCATTACTCTGTTTTGGAATTTTAAATGCAAAGCTATATATTTTCCTCTTCAGCATAAAGAAAATATGGTTACAACAATAAGTAAGAAAAAAAAAGAATAGTACCTGAGGTAGGAGCTTTTCAATGAAGGAAAAAAAAAAGATAATTTTTAGACACATCAGACAACACAAAAGGAAGAAAAACATAAACAATAATAAATATTTATCGCACTCCTACCACTTGCAATGCACTAAGCTGAGGCCATTACATCTGCTCTCTCTTTTAATACTCATAACCATCCTAAGAAGTAGTTGCTAATACTATCCTCATTTTTATAGATGAAGCAATTGGGGTTAAGCAATTTGCTGCAGGTCACACAGGTATAAAAGCAGCAAGTCAGGCCAGTCATTCTGGGCTCTTCAGCCTTGAAGAAGTTAGTTGATTCAGTCCTGCCAGAAGATAAATTGAAAAGAAATGGAGGTAACTTGCATTTCTCAAATGTTTTCTAGATGCCGAGCACTTTATTGGATACTTTCGTGCAAGAGTAGTTATTATTACCTTCATTTTACAGAAAAAAAAACAAAACAACAACAACAGAAAAACCAGTTCTAAAGCCTCAGGGTGAGGTGCCATGAGAGGTAAACAGATCTCAATTCAGCATCTGTGTCTCAAACACTCAACCTCTGAGTCTCTTTTGGCCTGACCACATTATGTCATTTTCATTCCCTTTTCTTTCTCCTTCTCCTTAAAATTATAGTCTGGAAAGAGGGTAGATATTTTTTCCTCTGTTTTATATGTATAATGTATAATAGTGGAGAATGTTTACTCCTCCACACTTATTTGTTCTTTTTGATTTCTCTAAAAAGAAGAAAAAAATATTTAGATGATCACTTCTCAAGAAAACAGCCTAGCTTATATGGTCACTATTGTGCTCTTTAATCTTATTCTTGTGTGACAGAAACAATATTATCATGATCTTTTTCATAACAAATTCATCATACCCTCCTCTCA